TATATAGCCATAAAAATAACATGCATAAAGGATTAATAACATGGAGAGTTTTCCTTGTGTTAAATGAAAAATGCAGAAGTAGAAATAGAAGAATAGCAGAATTTATAGAGAATATGATCTCAAACATATAACAAATGCACAACGAAAAACACTAGAATTACAGTAAGATACAGGTAGGCTTTACTGACCTAAAACGGTAAACTGAGACAAAGTATGAAAAGCAAAAGGAATTTATTTGGGCGTAAGGCTGAGGCCTGCACGCAGCACACAGCCCGATGACCAGATTCAGGCTGTCCTGAACAGATGCACCGAGACTTCACCATCCTCAAGCAAGTTTTGATGGCAAAAACCACAAGCAGGAGGGAAGGAGGAGAGGGGATTATTCCAGTTGTCTGGGGACAATTATGCTTGGCTGTCAGGATCAGTAACAAGCGTAGCATCACGGTTTGGACAGGGCAATTCCTGGAGAGATGTCCTTGCTGAAGTAGTTGTTGGGGCAGGTTGCAGTAGTCTTTGTACACGCTCGTGATTCTAACACAGTTCTTTAAATTACCGTTCATGATGTCAGGCATGCTAGCATGAGAAAAACACCTCCTCTGCGGCCTGCCCCAGCTTGGCCTAGGCAGAGTTTAGCACAAGCTCCTACAAATGACTCTGTTTTGAGTCTGGAAATGCTTGCAGCTTTCTCTCTAAGGTCTCTCCCTTTTTGTTGTCTTGACTTCACACTGTAAGACATGTCTTCTAGAAAGCCAGCAACCTAATGTTCTGCTCCTATTTCTTTTTTCTTTTCAAAGAATTACTTCATTTTATTTATTTATTCCTTTTTTTTTTTTTTTTTTTTTAATTTGACAGAGAGAGGGAAAGTAAGAAAGCAAACCACCAGGTCCAGGACTTGAACTGTGGTTGGTCATGCGGGAATGTCCAGTGCCTTAACTACCACACCACTTGCTGGTTACCTCTGCTCCTATTTCTTGATAAAACCTCTTGAGAAGGCAACATAAGGCCCTGTTTCTAATAAAGTTTCTGAGGTAGCCCTGACTTTTTTTTTTTTTTTTTTAGATGCTGGAAGGCAGGCCATCCTTTCACTGTCTTTGTTTGCTCCAAACCTTAATCAATTGACCTTCTCTTTAACACACAAAGCATCAAAATATCCCCCAATAGATCGTGAGTGACTTTGGCTAAACAGTAGGCAAAACATCTGTGTTGAGCCCTTCAAAAGAGGGTGTTTGTCTGCAGAAAAATAAAATATTGGGAAATTTCCAGTCTCTAAAAAATTGAACCTTATCTTTAAAATGATTTGTGGGAGTTCAATTTATTTTTAGAATGGACAGTCTAAGTTGCACCACTGGCATGGCAAGATTCATGTCCTTAGCATTTAATGATTGCTTTCGTCATGGAGATAAAACCAAAGGATGCTATCTGAAGTTACGTATACTTTCTGTTGTCATTTTCCAGCTTAAGTATCCTTAATGTAAACAATGACAGATGTCCATAATCATAATTGTGGGATACATTTGCATTAATTCCCGTCAAAGGAAAGCTGTTCAAAATATCACAACGCGGTGATCGCCTGATGACTGCGTGTTACCCGTTTACACAGTAGCATCCTAGGCCACCTGTGTTTTTTTGGATGGCACAGGACTTCATGGTATGACTTGACATAAAAGAAAAATTTCTTTCATAATGACAATTCTTAAACTAATAGAAAATTAGAAAAGAAAGCTTTTCATTGACTGTCTAAAACTCATGTATGGGTGTTTCTGGCATACCAGTTTTCTAGGGCTGTCACATCAAAGTAATACAGACTTGATGGCTTAAAACACCAGAGACTGACAGTCTCACAGTTCTGGAAGCTAGAGGCCTGGAATCGGAGTGTCAGCAGGGCCATGCTCCTTCTAGAACCTGCAGGGGAGAATGCTTCCTTGTCCCTTCCTAGCTTCTAGTGGATTGCTGATAATCGTTGACATACCTTGGCCTACAGTTGAATGGCTCCAATGTCTGCCTCCAAAACCACAGTGACATAGTTCTCCTGTGTGTCCTGTCTTCACAGGGTTATCTTCTTAATCTTCTTATAAGGACAATAGTCATATTGACTTAAGGGTCCAGGCTACTTCATATGACTTCATCTTAACTAATTATATTTACAACAATCTTATTTCCAAATCAGGTCACATTCTGAGGTCTTGGAGCTTGGGGACTTCCATTTTTCAGTTTGGGAGTGACACACTTCAACCCATCCATTATACATAGGGTCCATGGATTTGGGATTAAGAGCCTATTGAGGGTCAGCCCTGTGGCACCATGGCTGGGCACTGTGCATGGGGAGCCAGATCCCACATGGTTGTCCTGGCTCGTGACTCGAGGGACATACTGGGCATGTGTGTGCCCAGGGTCCTGACAGGGTGGATAAGTGGAGAAAGAGGGATTGTGGCATGACACTCCATTGAGGGGTGCTCTCTCCCTTTCTCTTTCTTTGGTGAGCAGGGGCACCCTCTATCCAAAAAATAAAATAAAACAAAGAGGGAAACAAAGAAAATCTGTTGAGATGGTCAAAGGGCATCATGGGGACCTTGGAACCAGAGAGTATGAAGCAAAGACACAGAGAAAGAAGTGGGAGTGAGACACACTGACCCCACTTTGCAGTTCCGCTCATATATCCAGTGGCAGTGATCTCGCCCTGCAGACTCCGGTGCAGGGACTTTAGTTACAGCAATCATTGGCCAGTTCCCAGCTAAAGATGCTCGAGCTCTATACTGGAGTCCAGGCTGCCAAAGTGAAGTTTGTGGTTGTGTCCAGGACATTCTGCAGCTGCCATATGTTTGAAAATGTCTGCATTTTGTGCAGAGACACACGAGCAGTATTTCCGTAAGTGGAGTTACATAAGTAGGGCATGGGCTTGCATAATAATTAGCATGCATAATTAGGCACAGACTTCATGTCCTTTAGACAATCAAGACATCTAATTACAAAATTAAGATGTGATTATGTGGCCCAAGATCGACATATTTCTTTCTACCCATTAGAGATTACATTTAGAAAATAATTCACTAAAAAACGATGAAGAAATGAACATAGACACCCCATTTGAGGAGGTTAAGAAAAATGTTAAGTGGGTTGGGAAGTCTTCTTTGGTCTTTCTTGTTAGTCGTAAGGGGAATTATTTAAAAACATCATAGCCTACTTGAAAGAATCCCTTTTCCAAACTCTGCTGTCGACCTTTGGTACACTTGCTAATGAAGAGGAATGTTGGCATGACTAATCCATGTAATTCACACGTGGCTTTTGAGTGTGGTTTGTAATTCCATTTGAATGTGGACTTAAGGGTGATGTCCTGGGAATTCATTTTCAACCCAATAATGTAGCCACAGGGTGGAAATCTTGGGAAAGCAGGAAGGAGAAACTGCCTTTCCCCTCTGCCTTGATGTGGTTCTCCCAGTGACCACCTTAAAAGTAGACCCATTGCTCAGAATTATGCAAACCAATACTTATGGTATGTTCTCCTGTCCATGAATATTTGAATATTTGTTCGAATAGTCTTATTTTAATATGCTCCAGGTGGGAAAGGGAGCGGTCAAAGAGCAGAGCAGATATTCCATCCCTCTGACCAGTGAGTGAGTCTACCAGCAGAGTCGTCCTGAGCCCCTTGGAAGGCAGATCGCCATGACAGTCTCTGTTTTCCCTTGCTCCCACATTGAGATTTGGCTGATCCCTGCATGATGCCAAATACCCTCTTTGACTCATTAATTTTTCTGAGCTAACTGAACTTTTGACCTAATTGGCTGACTGGCTAGGGATCAGAGCCATATGCCCAGGGTTTCTCAGCCAGTTCTGACTGTAGCTGTGGTATCTCTCTGTTCACAGAAACTGTTGAAATAGCCTAGTAACTCCAATGTTTTGACAGCCACACCGCACTTCTCAGGCTGCCACTTTCTCCTGGAAAGTGGCACAGAAATCTGTCAGACCATGCTTCCTGATTTGGGGTTAAGAAAATATGCTTCCCATATGGTTGTAGGCCGGGAAAACAAAGACTTAAAGAGTTTGTAAGGGTTGGTGAAGGATCGCCTCCTTTCCATGACTTGCTCCCTCCATATATATATTTTTTCCTTTTCTATTAGGCCATGGAATGTGATGAGAGATGAACCGTGTGTAAAAGGGGTCAGTCCTGACCAAGAAAATACATGGATTTACATATATTTTTTCCTTTTCTATTAGGCCATGGAATATGATGAGAGATGAACCATGTGTAAAAGGGGTCAGTCCTGACCAAGAACATACATGGATTTACACAGGGAGCTTTTGCCATTGTTAGTTTTTTGCTTTGCCTTCTGAGTAATGGCTCATGATAGACTAGAGGGAAAGGAACTGAACTTAGGAGAGGTGCATTTAGAAAAAAAAAACAAAACACTAACTTAGGAGAGGTGCATTTAGAAAAAAAAAAAAAAAGCACTTTATTGGGGCCAGCAGATGGTATAGTGGTTATGTCGCATCTGGTGGCTTGAAAAGGTATAGTGGTTATGTCGCATCTGGTGGCTTGGAAATCACGCTGGGCAAGTGTGTGTGCATGCCCAAGATCCTGAGAGGAGAATGGAGAAGGGATCGGGGCATGGCTACCCTCTCTGTGGGATGATTTCTTGCTTTTCCACTCATTGTCACTCTCTCTCTCTCTCTCCTGTGAGCACATGCACCCTAAGGCAAAAAATTTATTGATGGGAAATATGGGTGGGGGAGGGGCAAAGGAACCACATTCTAAGGTAGCTCCCAACTCCGTTCGACAGTCCCTTGATTCTAGCCCATCACTCAATCAGGAGGAATTTACTAATTACTGAGTTCCTGTTCTGCTCACGTAGCTCTAGGCCCCTGCCTCTTTGGTACTTAGATGTGTTAACTGGAACTTATTCTCTGTACCTACATCCAGGAAACCCAATAATTCTAATTCCTAATACAGACAAAAAGTAAGAACTTCAATTTCTCTACATCTTAAAATTTGGTTTTCCCTCCAGGTATTCTACATCGGCGTTCTCGAGACTGGAGAAGTTAGGCATCAGACATCCCAAGCCTTCTCCTTTCATTGGAAACTTGGCATTTTTCCGCCAGGTAAGGGCTGTCTTCCATGGACTCCTAGTATTAACTGCTAACCCCAGTGCAGGCTTTCCCATGAATCATTGCTCTTGTCCAGCTCAGCCACACCCAGGGTTGTATATGTGTGATGGCTCTGTGTGGTATAATGAGCCCTCTTCTACTTGAATGAATCCTTATGTGACTACAAACACCCATCTCTTATCACTCATCAGGATGTATTATCTTATCAGCCATTCATTCACCCAAAACCCCATTTCTTGAGTGTCTAAATATACCAGCCATTAGAATGCAGAGGGAGTAGAAGCTATTTGTGCCCTCAAATGCACCATCATATTATAGCAAAATATACCATAGCACTAGTAGTAGCTGTGGTCCTCCTTCAGAGAAAAGGGAGATCTGTCAGGACTGGAATCACTCTGGAAGACTTCTTGAAGAAGAGAATCCTACAGGAATCATAGATTCAGAGACAATCTCTCTCTCTCTCACACACACACATACCAGGTGAGAACTAACATGTGTGCAAGTGTACAAACAGGAGAATGAAAGTACAAGTTGACCAGTAGCCTGGACCAACCAGAAGTCTAAGACTAGGGTGCATTAGGGAATGCAGAATGTGAACAAGAGGTGGACTGTATTATTCATGGGGCAGAAGGGCAAGCGAAACATTTGTGTCTTGAAATTTTGGGGTAGGAGAGGGACATTGAAATGAAAGACACTCTGCAAGGGAGAGTAGGGCTATAGACTCCCAACTGTTGCTGAAGTCTAGGTGTGAACACGGGTGGTATGCAGAGTGAAAAGATAAGGGTATTAGAGGCAAAATTCAGAACTCTTGTGACTTATTGATATAGGAAACTCAAGGTAAAATGTCATTTTCCCTTCCTCTTCTCCATTTCTTTCCTTTCTGTTTCTTTCTCTGCCCACCTTACCCCTCTCACTATTTATTTTGTGGTTTCTGCCTTCCTGTCATCTCTTTCTCCCTCTCTCTGGGGTGGCTAGTTTACCGTTTTTAAGACCACAAAGTCAGGTTAACAGAAAAAAGATCATGTGTTGATAGAAATGAAAAGTCAGGAGGGGCAGTTGATTTAGGAGTAGGTATGTTTTCTTTTTTTCTTTCCTTTTAGTTTGTTACAGGGTACATACACTTGCCAGAGAGAGAGAAAGAGAGAGAGGAAAGTGAGAAATCACCCCCAAAGGGGGAATGGCCAAACCATAATCCCTTCTCCTCCATTCTCTTCTCAAGAATTTAGGCACACACACACACATACGCCTGGTGTGTTTCTCAAGCCACCAGTTGTGGGACTTGAACCATTCTGTGGTCATGTGGGATCCAGTTACCCTAACCTCCATGCTATATTCTGGCCTGATAGGTTTTATTTTAAGTATGTTCCTTTAATTTGCCAGTTACTTGCCGGTGGTGTGAGCATATATAGATAACAGCCTAGGACACTATCTTGTAAAGTTATTTTTTTCTCACATTGGGTTTCCTCAGAACCCGGATGGTTTATCTGCTAGCTCATGGGACACTGTCACCAACTCCAGCATCAGCAGCCAACAGGTCCGGTATGTGAAGAGCCTCTGAAGCAAACAAAGGCAGGAAGTACTAAATTTGGGTTAATCCTGATAATATCCCTCTAACATCTCCTTAGCATTTCTCCTCCCCACCCCCACCCCCCACCAGAGGCTGGTCTTTGGCACAAGATAGAAAATAACATTAGCTATTTCTGTCCTTTTTCTGCCTCCTTCTCAATTTCTTTTTATATTTCTTTCTGTCCCTTTCTCTGTCCAACACTCTTCTTCACTATTTATGATCATTGCTTCTCTCTTGCCAACATT